AGGGAGAAGGTGCCAGACAGCATTTTTTGAAAACGCTGAAGAGACTTCCTGAAGGCCGGTATGAAGTATTTCTTCCTTGGTTGGAAGGACTACAGCCACCTGCAAATAATAGAATCATTGCAGAAGGAAGACTCAAAAGGACGATTGAGACCCTACAAATACAGAATTTGCTAAGGGATTATGAAGATGTCTTTCATGAATGGCTGAACGAAAAAATAATATAACCTGTGAATATTTCGAGATTAGATGGTCTTCTTTGTACATGTTACCGTTAAAGTATGAAATCCGTTATTCTATAGAATACCTAGTTATTCTATAGAATAACTGATCAAGTCAGTTAAAGTGTTAAATAAACTTTTATTTTACACTTTAACTAGTTATTCTATAGAATAACGGTCCACGCATCGTATCGCATTTAAAGTGTAAAATAGCCGATATGATGCAGCCTGTTTGTTAGTCAGATTGGTTATTTGTATTTTCAGCATCTGAAGTGGGCGCCAGGCAAATTTTTTTAACTTTAAAAACATCCTACGGCTTCGCTAGCAGCGGGAGATGGAACCTATTAGCTTCGCTAGCTCATTGAATGTAAGGAATCTGCGTTTAGAGTGGAATTTGTCCATAGCTTCGTTCCTAATAGAAATACCGAGACAATTCCTGTATATTCTTGAACCTTCATTTTGTCGCAAAATTCGCCAAATTTGTCGCCAAGGTCGACTGTCATTGACTTCTTTCAATACGTATTCCTGTAAATCTGTCTTTCCAACTACAAGAATAATATGGCAAGAAAGCGACATTACAGTTTTATGACACTGTTATAGTGGTTTTAATTTTCCATCGGTTATGGCTGATATGCAATCAAAAGTTATAAAAAAGCGGACTTGTTTTAATGTCAGAATGTTTATTTTACACTTTAACGGCCTGTCATTAGCTATTCTATAGAATACCTAGTTATTTCATAGAATAACTAGGTAAAGTATGAAATAAATAATTTATTTTACACTTTAACTGACTTGATCAGTTAATCTATAGAATAGCTAGTTTTTCTATAGAATAACTGAATTATACGCTTTAACGGTGACATACATACTTGCCTCATCGTATTGTGATCAAAGAAAATTCAACGACAAAGATTCGACCAGTCTTTGTTGCTTCAGCGAAACAGAAAAATGGCTCATGTTTGAACAGTTGTCTTGAAAAAGGACCTAATTTGGTGGAACTGATTCCGAGTATCTTGAACAGATTCCGACTTGGAACATTTGGCGCAATTGCTGATATCAAGAAAACATTCCTCTAGATAAGTATTGATAACAGAGACTACCTGAGATTTTTATGGTTTGAAACCGGAGATCCTGATAACTTGAAGATTTATCGCCATGAGTTTGATTACTTAACCAATGTTTCATCCTTCGTAAAAATAGTAAGAATTACAGCATGGATACGTCGATTTATTAGAAATTGTAGAAATAGTAAGACACTTTGCTCCACCAAACATTTGGAAGTTGAAGAAATGAAGGAAGCCGAAACCATCATCTCGAAAATGATGCAAAAGACATCATTTAGAACAGTTAATGAAGAGGGACTTCGTAACCATCGTCCGTTCATTGATCCATCAGGTGTCTTTAGAATCAAAACACAACTCTTGATGAGGAAAGATTTCGAAAATTTCAAATATCCCATCCTACTGCAATATTGTAGAACCATATTGTAGTTCAGAAAATGGTTATGCATAAGCATAAAACCCTATCTCATTGTAGAATTCAAACTCTGATGTCTATTTTAAGAGAAGAGTTTTGGATTCTGAAAAGTCGTAGAACAGTACGCAAAGTTCTAAAGACATGTACCGTTTGCAAAAGATTTGATGCTAAACATCCCGAAGTTGTTCAAGCAGCACCCTTACCTGAAGACCGACTAAGAGACTCCGCCACATTCGAAACTATAGGAATTGACCTAGCGGGTTCCTTATATCTAAGGGACGGATCAAAGGCTTGGGTCGTTTAATATACTTGTGCAGTTTACCGTGATGCACATCTCCAACTAGTAACACCTCTTACTACAGACAAATTCCTGCTTTCTTTCAGCCGCTTCATTGGAAGAGGTGGGAGACCTACCATTATCTATACGGATAATGGCAGCAATTTTGCGGGGTCAAACCAAGCTCTGAATAAAGTGGACTGGAACAAATTCAAGGATGACACATCCGTGTCAAGAATCCAGTGGAAGTTTATTCCACCCAGCTCTCCCTGGTGGGGAGGTTTCTGTGAACGATTGATAGGCCTTTTAAAAACTACTTTGAGAAAGGTCCTTGGTAAAGCTTCTCTAAGGTATGAAGAGCTTTCAACAATTCTCTGCGACTGCGAGAACATTATTAACTCTAGACCAATAACTAATATACCTGAAGATTTGGAACTCGAACCTCTGACACCAGCGACGTTTCTTAGAGACATTCAGGAGAGTTTAATTTCTGATTTAGATTAAGTTTATTCTACAAGTTTACAAAAAAGATTTTATACAGATTAAAACTTCGAAAAGATTTACGAAAACGATTTCGCACGGAGTATCTTGGACAATTGAGAAGTTATGTAAATAGATCACGAAATCGCTACACTTTCTGTGGAGGAGATATAGTTTTAATTGAATCTACTGCTAAACGAATAAACTGGTCACTAGGAAAAGTGGTTCAATTGATTGAAGGAAAAGATGGAGTAGTAAGTCTTGTTAAAATCCGTACCAAGCAAGGAGACTTACTTCGACCTATCCCGCGTCTTTATCCTCTGGAAGTAAGTTCCCCCAACGATGGAGATCTTCGTAAACTGATTGAAGGTCCCACAATTTGTGAAAAAAGTGAGTGCAATATTTCGAGTGATCCCTCATCGCTAGTGCCTGACTCAGGGGAGGAACTATCGCCCACGCCTGTCCCTCAGCGGGTCAGTCGTCATGGTTGAACTCTACGTGTTCCTCGTCGCCTGGACCTCTAGAACATGTATCTCCTGAGTTTTGAGTTCCAGTGTGGTGAAACTCAAAGTGGGGAGTATGTCACGAAAATCACTTCCACTTCTACGGAAACAACTCAACCCTACAAGAACTCTAGTGAAATCAGAACTTTTTTCCCTTTTTAAAAGCTGAAATGCTGGAGCGTTGCACGTATAGTGCTATCCTTAAATCTATTCTTAAAAACTCCTGTATTTTACTATTTAAATATTTTATCTAATTAAATCTTTTAGTATTCATTACAGAGGAGCTCTCTTCATTGAATTCATGACTGGTTTACGTTTTCGACATTGTGAGTTTACTCTTTTTTAGAATGATTCACTCGGCAACTGTGAGTATAAACATAATTTGTTAAGTATCTTGTTTCATATACTTCTGATGACGCAGATTGTCGAGACATTGACTACAGTTTTTATCAAAAATCGAAAACTTAGAAAATGTCTGCAAATGAAGCAGAAAATAAAAAAGAAATAAAAAAATCTATTAACCATCAGAAATCAGCTTTATTTTATTATTTTTTATGTTACGACTGTTTTTTATTCTTGGTATTTTTGTATTCGGATTTTTTGTATTTGTATTCGGATTTTTGTATTTGATTCTTTTTAAATCTTCTTAAATGTATTTATATATTTTATTCAAGAAATCTTCCATTTTCGTTTGTTTTGTGTTTTTAGAGGGGATGACGGCAATTTTTAACGGATTTCGTTTGTCGTCAGCAGAAAAAAGCACAAATTAATATCATGAGCGAGCTTCTCTTCCTGACGAGCGGCTCGCTATGATATTTTTCAATTTTTTTTGGTTTTTTCTGGTTTTTGTCTATTTTGCCATTTTGTCCTTTTTTACTGTTTTTGAGTTTTTATTTTGTGTTTATATGTTGGTTTTGATATATATATATATATATATAACTCAAAGTTCCAGCAACACTTCCTAAGGGCTGAAGGGATTTCTATGAAATTTGTTACACATGTTCCTCATTAACTCACTTGAGGTCACAATACTTATGTATTCATTTTCATTCCATTTAAACTTTAAAGATATATTTACAAAAATTAAAGTTTTATGGTATCATTCACGATGTCATCAATGTTTTCAGCAGGCTTTGCTCTTCTCGTTCTTTTATCATTTGCTGAACGGTGTTTTCGAAGCCATGTCCTTATATACGGTTCAGGCTTCCATTTTCGGATGTTCGAACCGTTAAGTTTTATGAACATTAGGGATGAAATATTTGAAATCGATAATCAAGTTCTTGTTGGCGTAACGATAATGTTCATGTGGTTAAAACCGCACTCACATTCTGATGAACTGCACGGTATAAGGCTTGAGCAATTCATCAGTGGAATTAACTCTTTTGATAGAACAGAAATGTTCCCTAAATAATCGCTGTAACTGTTTATTGTTTTATTCATACTCAGCCTGAATCGGGCACAAAGTTTTCAATCTCAGGGACTCCGTATCCTACAGATTGTTTTGACGGCCAACTGATACTATCCAACACCTTAAGTTCTGAAAGAAGGATTTTACAGTCTTCTTAAAGAGAGACGCGGTCAGGACCTGGAGTTATGCATGCATTCACGTTAATAATTCTTGTAGTCAATAGTCTTCTTTCAAGATTGTTTATTTTACTCGGAATGAATTGCTGATTGTTGTTTCATAAAATTTTGGCATTATTTTTTATGGGAACGCCAAAAAAGTTGCCTTCAATTGTTGCCTTCTTGGCCTCAAGACATTTGGTCTCAGGTTTGTCAGGATTTGCTGTTTCAATTTTCAAGTCTTAATAGTTTTTTGCTGTGCTAAAGAAATAGTATCAGTTCATTGTGCACACAGGGAGAGAACAAGATGCGCATCGCTGGTTAAGTGGTAGAATGCTCCTCTACCACGCGGGCGGCCCAGTTTCCCATCCCGCCGATGCAACGGGTGAATTCCTGTTTCAATTTTGCAATCTTAATAGCTTTTTTGCTATGCGAGAGAAATAGGATCAGTTAATTGTGCACCTACCGAATGAAAAAAAATGAGCATCGGTGGTTCAGTGGCAGAATGCTCGCTTCCCACATGGGCGGCCCGGGTTCCATTTCCGGCCGATGCAACTTGTGATTGCCTGCTCCAATTTTGCAATCTTAATAGATCATTTGCTATGCGAGAGAAACGAGACCAGTTCATTGTGCTCCTACGGAGAGAATAAAATGAACATCTGTGGTTCCGTGGTAGAATGCTCGCCTCCCACATGGGCGGCGCGGCCAGGGCTCCATTCCCGGCAGATGCAACGTGTGATTTCCTGTTTCAATCTTAATAGCTCTTTTGCTATGCGAGAGAAATAGATCAGTTAATTGTGCACATACGGAAAGAATATAATGAGCATCTGTGGTTCAGAGGTAGAATGCTTGTTTGCCACGCGGGCGACTCTGTTTCGATTCCCAGCCGATGCAACGGGTGATTTCCTGTTTGGATTTTGCAATCTTAATAGCACTTTTTCTATCAGAGAGAAACAGGGTCAGTTCATTGCGCACCGACAGAAACAACAAAATGATTGTCGGTCGTTCAGTGGAAGACCCCTCCCCCCGTCATAAACTTCAGCTTAATGCCTTCGATTATTATTTTCGGCAGTATCTTAACGTGTTTATTGGTTTCGCATATTTTGCTTTCTGTATAATAATCATTTTCATGCTGAAATTTTTTAATATTTTTTCAGATTAACGTTTATAATGTGGCTTCAAATTTTAAATCTGAAGTGGAATTCATCTCTCTCTCTTTTTTTCCTTCTTCTCTGATTCAATTTCGATATATTTAAATACTACAGAAGTTATGTTTGTCGTATTGCTCCATTTGAAAATGTTTAAAATTTCATTCGGTAAGCCTTCCCAACATGCATTGTTGCAATGAAATTTGCAGGTGCGCATGGGTGCAGAGAGCAGGATACGTCAGAAACTTCAACTGAATGCCTTCGATTATTATTTTCGGCTGTGTCTTAACGTGTTTATTTGTTTCGCATATTTTGCTTTCTGTATAATGACAATTTTCAAGCTGCAATTTTTTAATATTGTTTCAGATTAACGTACTCTGTAGTGTTTTTCTACAGAACAGAACTATTTCTCTTTTCCCGCACCCGTGACCAGACCGATCGCTGAACGGTTTGATGGGCAAGACACGGGAATTTATTTAAGAAAAAAAAGAAAATCAAAACAAACATAAAGAAAGATTTACACTATGTTACAGCACAGACATTTTCACTTTTACACTATTAGTCCGTAATAGTCTTATTTTATTTAGAAGTTTTTTTACCTTCCTTTTCTTGAAGGGGGGGGGAGAATGTCCAGTAATTTGGAGCTTGTTGGCTCATCTCGCTGGAAAGTTGAAGGCTAGGGAGGCCGGAAAATATCTCTGTTTTCGCTTATTAATTTGACAATCCTACGAATTTTAGGCCTCGAGACGAGGTTATTGGCGACTCTTTTCAGCCAGTCTTGTCAGAAGTTTGGCACTGGCTTCCTCATCTTCCAAGACACTGCGAAAATACACTCCGTGGCATAGAGATGTGTCGTGCCAATTCCACCACAGCTGCAATAATCGCCGCTATCAGACAGGTGAAACCTTTTGAGGTAGGCAAGGAAAGTGCCATGTTGAGAGAAGAATATAATACCCTCTCTAATCCAGTTAACGGGACTAACTATCCGACGGAGACTAACTGAGGGCATGATGTTATCGATTTCCCTGGCTGTAACGCCATTCTTCCAGGTTTGCCACTCCTCAAGCATGCTCCTCCAGAAGAGGCCTCTTATGAAGCTGAGTAAGTAAATAGGGTTGCACATGTTGCGTTGCGTCTTTTACCAGATGGTCTGCTGTCTCATTGTCTATATGGCATGCATGTGCTTTAACCCACGAGTCGTTTTGGATTTGTTAGAAGGATATTAAAAAATTGTCTTGCTGTTTGGTTTGGGCTCTTTGAATTGGAAGATGCCATTATACTTGCTCTATTTTCTACATGTTTTTAAAGGTATTGTGGTTTGGCAGATGTGATGCGTATATTACTGCTTCATGAAGTGCAGTGAGTTCAGATTGAAATATGGTGTTTTTGTCGTTGAGTTTAGCAGACAACTTGTAGGTCCAGATATCATTGGCCGAAACGCAGAAGGCAGCTCCAACTCCGTGTTCGGTTTTCGAGCCATCTGTTAAAATATTTATAATGTCCTATCGGGCTACATTTACTTCTCTATCGTTTGTAACGCTGCAGTTGGGGTGGTGCGATAAGTTCCCAATATGTGGAGTAGGAATGGCCTTTGAATCGAAAAAAGTTTCATCTTCATTTTTTATGTTGGATTTAGACACCAAGGTTAAGATCCGCAGCCCAGCATTCTCTCAATCACCGTTAGAGAGTCTTCTGTGTATGTGAGAGATTCCACAATTGCCACCTGCAATTATTTTGAGGTTCTGCTGCATTTTGATAGCTTTCTGTCCTTGCTTATTAAAGTGCTCCAGCCAGTTAAGTCGATCATCAGCGTGTATCCCTAGGTGCTTAAAATATTTAACTCTATTTATGTTGTACATGTTCCATGTGATCTTGGGACTTCTTACCATTTTGATAAATAAGATATAATTTGTTTAATCTGTTGAAATGTCAAGTTCATTTTCTGAGCACCAGGAGCTCAATTGGGTTATAGTACTTTGCGTGTCTTTTATAAGGCTTTTATTTGTGAACGCTTCAATGACCAGCACAAAATCAAAAAAATTATATATGAACGTTATCTGGCCAGACTTGATTGGGTATTTCGTTTGCTACGAGGTTCCACAAGACCGGTCCACTGCACGAACCTTGAGGGCAGCCTTGTTTCTGATCATCCATTGTGGCCCTGCCTTGTGGGGTCAGTAGTGTCACTTTCTTATTTTGAAGAAGGTTGTGAAAAAGTCTATTTATGTTAATTGGGCAAGTGCTGGTGTCCAAACTCGTAAGTGCAGTTCAATGGTGTAATTTGTCAAACTCTCCCTTGATGTCAATAGAGAGCACTGAGACATGCTTGCCATCTCTTCTTGCTGTTTGAATCTTTCTTAGCAGCTCGTTGATAGCTGCATCCACAGTCTTTCCTTCTCTGAAGCCATACTGTCGGTCGTTAATTCTGTTTGGTGGCCTCCAGATGATATGTGAATCTCTGAGTCATAACTTTCTCCAGCACCTTCTCTATTGTCGGTAGGATTGAAATAGGGCGATTAATGGAGGCCAGCCGCTGGTATTTTCCTCCTTTCTGGAATAAGATAATATTTCCTATTTTCAAGGAATCAGGGAAGCATCTTAGTTGCAGGCACTTGTTGAAGAAGGTTGGAAAAATATTATTGAAGCGCTTATGAATGTTTATAACTAGTAGGTTATCGATTTAATCTATACGAAGGGCTTGTCATTATAGCGAAAGAAAGTAAGGGAGAAAATCAATAATGTGTATCTTTGGTTTCTATTTTGTATTCAAAACTTTTTCGGGCCTTCTAAAGTTGCAGAACCCTAGGAAGTGACTTACCTTGCGTATTTCATATTCCGTTCATAATATCAAAACTAACAACAGTGATTTTTTTTTAATTTGATTATTTTTTTGAAACCTCTCAGTAATTTATTCTCTGTTTGGAATCCCTATTTTTATATTATTCTAAAACTAAAAAATCGTAACGGATACAAATTTTTTCAGAGGATATGTGTTGGGATACTTCGTTCCTTATATTTCATTCACCATTTATTAATTGCAAAGTAAGTATTTTATTCAAATAATTTGTTTCCCGTGAGTGGAATTTTTAAGATTTATCAGCCAAGTGGGTTTAATTCCGATGAAGGGATGCTATTTTCTTTACAAAATAGCATTTAAATCAATTAATTGAAACTTGGCCTTTTTAGCGCGTTTGGGTTTATTTTGCCTTCCTGGTTATGTAACCCTGGAGGGATCTGAGAGAACTAACGCTGAATCAATAGTTAGCGTAGTTAGCTAAAGGAAGGAGGTGGACTTCTGTTGGCATCATCGTATAACAACGGAGTATTTCAAAACGGAGGTAAGCTTACTTGGATGCAGAATTTAAACACACAAGAATTAAACACACAACTTTTTTAATGAGAATAAAGTTAAAGCTTAAACTCCTGCACTCAATACCTCGCTCAAGATTCCTTGCATGTCATATCCTCATTACGGCAATACATTATGTGTATTGTTTTTCATTGTCCCAGCTTGAGTCTAATGAACTTAAAGAAATGGAGATTCAGTCGTTTGGCTTGAATACTTCGAGAGAGATTAGACGAAGAGGGCGACAGCGGAGCGCCTTGCTAACACAAGCACATTGTGCCCAAATTCGTCACACATATGGTGGTTCGTAATATCCGATTTTTTAAAATCATGAATGCTCATTTTACTCATTTCATGATTTTATCATGTATAAATTATCGTTGTAAAACCGGTTATCATCAAAATTTGCTTCGGTCAAAAGAAATAAACAATACACCAGCATGTTTTGTTTAAGCGATGCCATGACTTTGGTGTCCCACGTCCTGAAAGTGAAAAATTATGCGGTTTTCGTGAGCCCCCCCTGCCCCCCCCCGGCCCCCCCCGCGGGGGGGGGGTAGAACCGGGTAGAGGTTCGAAGATCTCTTGGAGCTAAAATACTAGAAATAGAACTTGTCACATTTTATTAAAATATTCATTGTTTATTGTAGTGCAATATATCTTTCCAGAAAAGTCAAAGTTTCATGATTTTTTTATCGATGATTTCTTTATAAAAAAAGTGAAACTAATCGAAGATAGTTTTTATGTTTGATTAACTCTTCTTCTTTATTTAAATTAGAAAATGCACCATTTATATATAAATAATTAGCGTCTTATGAATAATTAACGTCTTCAGTTGAAGTTTATTTACCGGACATTCTCCACCCCCCCACTTCTTGGAAAGGAAGGTAAAAATGCTTCTAAAGAAAATAAGACTATTACGAACTAATAGTGTAAAAGTGAAAATGCCTGTACTGTACATAGTGTAAATATTTCTTTTTTTATGTTTCTTTTGTTTTTCTTTTTTTTTCTTAAGTAAAATTACCGTGTCTTGCCCATGAAAACGTTCAGTAACCGGTCTGGCCACGGGTACGGGGTAAGAGAAGGCGTTCTGTTCTGTAGAAAAACAGTACAGATTACATTAATCTGAAGCAATATTAAAAAATTGCAGCATGAAAATTATCATTATACATGAAGCAAAATATGCGAAACAAATAAACACGTTCAGACACAGACGAAAAGAATAATCGAAGGCATTCAG